GGTGATGTCAAAGATAATTTTCACTTTTAACACTGCAACCTGAACCCCCGGGAGGGAGCAAAAGACACCTCGCACCCCCTGGATCTGACAATGATGATATCTGGCAACCATGTGAAATGTCTATTCTATGCTTGCTCTGAGAATTTAAAGTTATGAGATACTTGTATAAGTGGAAACTTACATTCTTCTCGTACCAATGTTGCCATTTTTTAGAGGAATGTTTGTAGTTTTCAAACTTTTTACACCATTCACGATATTTCGATTTGAACTGTGCCAGACTTGTCGGCTGCGTACATTCAGCTGCAAGTATTCTCTTAAAAAAAAAACAAGTCTGGTTTTTAATATCAATTTTAGCGGAACTAAAAAACGGAAAATGAGGAGGAATAAAAGACGTCAAGACTAGTAGCCAGCCGATCGTTGACCAATACAGTATCGATGTGAGCAGTTATATAAGGTGGGCAGTTACTGCTGAAGATGAGAAGATGCGCTAAGACAGGACAACTGATCAGCTTATCAAAATAAGACTAACTAACGCAACAAAGTAAGTCTAACCAAAGCATCAAAATAAGCCGATTGTAGCAACCAGGTTAACCTTAGAAGCCTAAATTGCGAAGGTGCGACAGGTTAAAGCGTGAAAGAACAATGTGAGGGAAGAAGGCAAATGAGTGAGATAAGAAGTTTCGGTCCATAAAGTCATATATGTCTTAACTCAACACTGCGCGACAGGACCTCGTGGCAGTATGACGGTCGCTGGGCTTAACGAGGAAAAGAAAAAGAAAATAGAAAATAAGTCATGCCATGCGATCAACTTGAAAAACTCCCTCGATGTCAATCTGTACGAAAAACATGTCTCCGTATGAGGTCACAACAGTTACGTGGATTTATTGCGTGCTTCACAGAACACAAAAAAAAAAAAAACTCACTTTCATCCACCGTAATCTCGTAGACTACAACCACTTCTCCGTCAACACTGCATTCATAGACTCCGCTATCTGCTCCAGAAACCTGCAAAAATTCATAAATAATGCTTCACGACAAGTTAATGTTAAAATTAAAAGGTGCACTGGTTACAGGAGGGGTTTAATAATTAAGGAAGCAAACTGCCAGGATTACCATTACTGTTGCGAATGATGAGGAATTGAATAGCAAGGGCTATGGTTTCGCTCGTTTCGAAACCGAGGAAAGCGCACAGAAGGCAACTGAGAAAGTGAATGGTATGCTACTGGAAGGCAAAAAAAGCGTAAGTTTCTGGAAATTTGGCTTTTTGAGCTTTTAGTGTTATTAAGGCAAAAGTACTCATACGTCAGGTGCACGTGCTCGTTATTTATTTATCAGTGTCAACCGAAGACCGACCATTAAATGACTGTCTTTTTCACAAGCACCGTCACTGGCGAGGTTTATCTTTTTTTAACTTTTTAAACTAAATCCCTTTTTGAATTTTCCAAAATTTTTTTAAATTTAAATTCGTGAATTTAACTTTTAAAATTAATTTTTTTTCTGAAAAAATTAAGTTTTTGAAATTTTTTTAAATCTTTTAAAAGCTAAAATTGAATATTAAAAGTTTCCCTTTTTTTACGTCTTTCCTCCTTCTTACCTTCTTTTCACCGAATTATTACTCCTTCTAACCCATAATCATAACTTTTCCCTTTCTTTCCTTTCTTCCTTTCTCTGCCTTTCAATTAAGTACTGTGACTGTCATACTGACGAGGTTCTGTTGTGGTGTTGAGTTTAAACGTATATGAATTAATGGATCGAAACGTCTTATCTCACTCTTACCTCCTTCTTTTCTCATACTGTTCTTTCTTTCTGTATTCTATCGCTCCTTCGCCATTTAGGCTTCCACGGTCAATCTGGATGCTACAATCGGCTTATCAGCAAAGAGGAAACAGAACAAATGGTACTTTTAAATACCAACATTAAATAAGACAAGTCCACCCTCTGTTGTGAATTGCCTTTTCTCCGATGGCGATTGCAGTCGTTCCTCATTGAATGTCCACAGCGGCGACAATGCCACACATTTCAAATGTACTGTGTCACCAGCATATAAAGTAAATGTCTCGTGGCGCACATGTCCCGAGCAATTATCGATATCTTTTGGTCCATCGCCGCTAATCCAACTGGAACGAACGAATGATCAATGCCAAAAATTAATAACCGAAAAATTAAAAAAAATCGATTTTCGCAGTCGAATTCATCTACTTACCTCCATCCGAACCCTTTCTAGCTGATTTAGCTGGCAAAATTTGGTGCTGGCATTTTTTGCATGGCTAAAAAAAAACCAAACAGCCATTAATTTGATTCTTGTGCAGGTCTCTAAAGAACTATCGGCCATCTGCCGTCACTCAGGCTGGTTTTCAGTGCATCCTTTTTTCACATACATACAGTTAATATAAGGGCAAGATCTTTTCAAAAACATTCAAAAACGCATCTCTCTGCTGTTCGCAGTGCGCTTTTGCAACAGTATTTTGCTGCATTTGAAGGTTATGTCAAAAAGATGATCTGAAAGTGATTTCAGACTGCAGAGCAGTGAAAATGCCTGGACACAGAGGTGCTCAAAAACCACGAAATTCTTCGGTATCTATCAGATTTTCACCCGAACTATAAGCGTGGCATCAAAACCATAAAGA